ATCAATTAAGTTTAAAAATTAAGATTTAAAAATAAATTATTAAATTAAAAATTTGATTTTTTTTTAAAAATAAAATGTTATCCTAACACATTTTATTTATTTATTTATTGATAGATGCTATGAATATGGTGATGTGATTTGAATAAATGTGTTTCTCGTAGATCTCTATAGTCTCATTTGGATTGATATTTTAGGAGTTTTGAATATAATATTTTATAAAAATATTAATTTATTAAAAAAAATATTGACATGAAGAATGAGAAATGTACCACACACAGATATCTAGTCAACTTCTAGTCAACTTCCATGTCCTAGGCTCCTATCCTATGAATGGGCCCATTGACATATGTTCAAGGAAGGGAAGAGGACTAGGCTACCAATGCAGTGAACGCCCAATGGATTAGATCATTAAAGAACAAGAGACTTGGCCGCACAGAATGAAACTTGAAGGACCGGAGAGGATTACTGAAATAACTAACTAATTGCAAAACCTAAAAGGATCTTAGTGAGAAAGGACTAGAAACTAAACAAGTTAGACTAAAATACTTCAATTTTCAATGGATTAATAACTATTAATTAACTAACAATTTGAATAAAATAAGAACAGTAATTGAAAAGAAGATTATTGTGCAGTGCATGGCATTCCCTCCGCATTCTATATCGTAACGTCGGTCGCGACAGTAGCAAGCAAATGACTCTGGAGAATTTCGGTTGGATCCACATCTTCCACCCGAGCGCAAACATCTCTCACAGAAGTCATTGTCTGTAAGACCTTGCACGTTAAAGTTTCTCATCAAGGTTCCGCTTAAATTCAGAGTTCCCGAATTAAATTCATCAAGAGCCTCGTTTGGAACCGGACCTACCACTTTTTCTTGACAACTCACAAGATTCGTCTCGTTATCCCTCAAGAACAGAGAGAACTTTGAGGCGCCCGATTCCCCATTAGTGGTGCAGTTAATTCTACGTGAAGGTTCTATTCTTACCCTTGAGAGATTAGACTCAGAGCAGCTGCTGAACAGAGTCATATTCACAACTGTTTTATCAGGGGAAAACAGACTGTAATTTAAGGTAGTGGGACAGGGAAGTGTTCGCGAAAGGGTCATCATCTGTGGTTGGGCTAATTGATCGATTCCGAGTAGTATAAACTCTGGCGAATTGATGGATATACCAGGGTACGTATCAATTCCGTTGCAACTAAGTTTATAACCCTGCTGTCCACAGTACAGAGGTCGAGTGTCTCCCCAGAAAGGAAAAGAGAGGTTTTTGAAGATTCCACAGTTGAAAGGTCGACTGCAATTCGTGAAGAGGGGATCATCTCCAGCACACAAGGATGGAGTGAAGAGGAATAGGGCAGTGATGAAGTACAGAGGAAGCGAAGGGAAGAAACGAGGACCCATTTCCAAAAATCAATAATAGTGAAAGTGAATGGATTAATTAAATTCAGCAGGTATAGGCTTATGATTTTCATGGAAATTAAGTGGAAACTGTGAGAAATTGTGTTCTAAATTCATAATTCCGTGTAAGTAAAGGAGACAATTCTATCTTCCCCAAAGAAAGGTCTGAGAGTTTGATTCAATTAATTTTCCAAGATAGGAATAGAATAGACTGCGTACTAGAACAAAGACAAAGATGGCGCAAGTGTTGAACCTTACTTATTCGCGTTGGTTTTATTTAAATGCAGCTAATCGGGTTGATACGTTCAAAGAATGACCATGAAAATGTACCATAAAAAAGAAAGACCATGAAAATGATTTTTCAGGTAGCCCTCGCTTAAAATACTGGATTAAAAGTAAAAACTCTATAGAATAATTTTAAAGTTAATATATACATATTAATTCTTGTGTTTCATTGCCTTATTATAGTAAATGATTTTCTTAAATCTAGATGGGTAGTTAGGTGCTCCAAATAAAATAAGCAACTCCAATTCAGATAAAAAGGGCAAAGTGAAAACTGAAAACCAAAGCTTTTTCTTCAAGCACAATGCATACCTTGAGGCTGGTGGAATGTTGTATTCGGCCCTCATGAACTGAAATTGAATTGAAGACAAATGTTGAAGAAAAGTATAAATAAGAATGTTAATTTTATATTTTTTATTTAAAAATAATAATTTTATTAATTTTTAATTAAAAATATTAATTATTAATTTTTAATTAAAAATATTAATTATTAATTTTTAATTTAAGGATGTGATTAATTTTTAATATTTTTATTTAAAGATATCAATTTTTAATTTTTTTTAATTTAAAAATATTAACTTTCAATATTATGATTAAAAAATTTATTTATTACCTTAATATTATTATTTAATTAAGTCTTAAATTAAAAAAAATTAAAAATTGATATCTAAAAATAAAATAAGTGGAAAGTTGAAAGTTAATATTTAAAAAAAAATTAAAAATTATTTTTTATTTAAAAATTAATAAGATGTTGATGTAAAATTAATATTTTTATTTACATATTTTTTCACAAATGTTGCATTGGCGGGAATTAGGAATTAATAGTTAAAGTGAATGGATTTTTCTTTTTTTTATGAACGATAAAGTGAATGGATCTTAATTTAATTCAATAGGAATAGGAGTATGATTTACATGGAAATTAAGTGGAAACTTGAGAGAAATTTGGAAGCTTTGTTCTTCCATGTTCTAAATTCATGATCCGTATGAAGGAGATAGAAAGGTCTTACCGTTGCCTGTTGGAATTTTCAAAGGGACAATAAATGATGCTAGGAGATTGGCTGTCGACCTTCGGCTTCAGTAGACCAACAGGAAATGGACATAATGCAACAAAGTTGGGTGGTTTAAAATGGATCAGTGTAAAATTTAGTTTCTGAATTTTTATTTTTTAATAATTTTAGTCTTTAAATTATTTTTTAATACCATTTTTACCCTTCAATTATGAAAAGTATAATTTTTTTTATCATTTTCTCAGTTTTATACATTAAATTTGTACCATTAGTTTTATGCAAATTCAAATCATTGAAAGAAATTAAAAAAATGTTAGTTAGAGAAACTTAAAGGACAAAACTAAAGAATAATTAAAAATATATATTTTTTATAATTAAGTGACAAAAAAAATTTTAAAAATAATTCAAAAACAAAATTTATTTAAAATTAAAAATTTAAACTAAATTTGACATTAAAAATAATAGATCATAGTCGCACTCAAATGCATACTCCATTTAAAAAAAATTTATCCATAGTTCATGTAGTCGAACCAAGTGTCTAGCTAGGCGTTATTTTATTTTGTTTTATTTTGCCCCACGGCCTTTAATCAACAACACCAGTTAGGGAGGTTTGGGTAGTCCAAATTTTGAATGCAAAAAAGCCAGATCTTTCTCTTTTCCATCGTGAAATATTTTATTAAAATAAGTATAATGAGTATTCT